GGGCTGAAAGAAAAAATTAACGGGAATATGAGCAAACGAAAACTTCCCTCAGAGCAACGTGAACAGGAAAAATGAGCCGGCATTTTTTGTGCAAAATTTTAGACATCCTATTAACTGGCAGATTCAGATCCACGAAATAAACAAGCCATATCCTTTCTAAAGAATTCTGAATGCGTCGATTTCTGTCTTTTCTAATGGAAGTACCACAACAATACATAGAATATCCGCAGAAGAGCTACTTTTTCGCGCAAAATGACTGCTTTTTTTCTGCTCCCACTAAAAATAACCAAAACTCAATTTCGCCTAAGCGCAGGCTAAATTTCAAGATCAAAGACAGGCTTTCAAAGACACCTAAAGGAATAACCGCGTGTCGATATCGCATTAGTGTCCAAGCAAGCAAATGCAAATTTAGAGAAAAAGAGTAAAAACTGCCGAAGCTTAAAGCCTAAAATGAAGTCAGCACAGCAAAAATTTTCCGCCTACTCTTACTTCTCTCCCACAATACCTAAAGTTAACGTAACCCGAAAGAAATCGCGGTAACTTCAATACACTTTGATCTGTTTACCTTAGTAGTACTAGTGACAATGCGATCACAATCCTTCTTCGTACATACAAGTGGTACTTTACATATGCCAGCAGGTTCCACGTCTTTCTTTTCCATCACTTTCAGCCAATTTTGACACTGCTGCACAAGCTCCTGCAAAAAAAAACATTTAAATTAATTGAATGGAAAAAATGCTAGTTCCAGGGAGACTTGAGCGAGAGATATGTGCGTGGCATAAACTCAACAGGCATATAAAACTAAAAAGATCGTATGGGCGAAATATTTCAAATTTAAAGGCCAACGAACAAATTCCACGGATTCGTGTAAAAGCGCGCAACATCAGCCAAAGAATCCAAGCAAGTATGTAAAACCGGATAAGACATCTAGAATTTGAGACAAATCAAGTTCATTTAACAAGACAGATGGAATAATTGGCCAACGCACGGGCTGCCCGTGCGAAGATGCGTTTTTTGCATAGTTTCCCGCAATTTTTGTTGCTACCGGCACCGGTTTTTTTTGGCAAATGCTTCTGGCTAAACAAATTACGACTGGCCGCCAGAAGTGTCAGAAAACACCCCCTTAAAACTTCAGCTTTCTAGCTTCCCTGACTCCTGAGTTAGTAACTTACTGGAAAAAAACTTTCACGGGACTGTGCGTGTTTACCACGCATACCCGAGAGCTGGGTTGCAGCTGAATGAAACTTAGGTAGACGGGGTATATCCTCTTAAAATTACAGTCCTTTAGCTTCTCAGGTACTCGAGTTATCAACTTACCCGAAAAAGTTTTGGCGGGCCGTAAGAGGGTACCACGCGGGTAATGGGACCCATTTTGAGGATTGGGGCCCATAGATGCATGTAGATTAAGTTCCCAAAGTTTCAGCCCTTAGCTTTTGTAGGTCTTGAGCTGAAAAACCGTGACAGACGCACAGACGGGCACACAGACACACAAACAAAGACAGCCCCTCGTCAATATGCGTTTTCTGCATTGCATAGCTGCAAAAAACGCATAATAAAGCCCTCCTATTCCATACAAACAGAGATAAATCGCCAAACAAATTATAAATAAGTCATAATTATAGTCCTTTTTCAACAAACCACTTACTTTGCTCAAAGATTCATATAAAAAGATGGTGAGTGCCCGAGTTTTCGCGTTTTCTTTTTCGCCTATTCAAGGACTCCTAAATCTGCTCAAGCCTAGACAAGAATGTGGTAATTATTCGGCTTGCTGGGGCCTAACATACTATAGGATAAACTTTGGTCTACAGTTGTACGGGAGGGTTTTACGGTGTCTTTTAAGCAAAAGAGAGCATTTACCTGAATAAGATAATATTTAGCTTCGGCTAGGATTTCGGCCGTTTCGGCGCGACATTCCGGCAACGGCACGTAACCATCACGTAAAAAATTCAAAATTGTCCCAAAGTGTTTTCCGCTGCGATCAATCAACACCCAACCATCATCGTCCGTTAGCACCTGTAGGTAAAAAACCATAAAAAAATGGATCCACGGGAAGCATTCGAATAGAAAAGACACAAAAAAAACTTTGGAAATGTGTTTTTTGCTACAAGAAATTTCCAAGCATATGACGTTGTACCTCCCTGGAGATCGCATCGCTTACAGAAATGAGAAGTTCGCCAGTTACCACTCAAACGGTTTAGAAAATCCGACAAAAGAACGAACAAGTTTAAGTAAAAACAACAGAGACTGTACCGGACAGAGTGTTTGGAACCCTCACGCTACACCAAACCTGTACTGACAGGAAACCCCCCGTAAATACCGCGATACGCTATGGCGATGTTTGACTTATGCTGTCATATAGCGTAACACTCAGGATATTGCGAATACGT